TTGCTTTACTGCTGGTATTTAAAGCCCTTAGGCAATGAGTGTTTTCAGAGGTGTCTTTCCGGTGTGGCTATCTCTCTAGTTGGTAGAGCCTAGTCTACCTAGTGAGTTCAAGACATACGTGGAGTGTAGTGAAAGCTTGTCTCATCTTCCCTGGCTCCCCCCACCCCTTATAAAGCACCACAATCTAAACAGCAACAAAAATAAAAAACAAAATGGCAGCGTCTCTGGGGTGTCTCTGTGAATTCCCTACTTGTCTTGTTTTGTTTTCCTGTTAATTTTAAACAGGGTCTTCCTAAATCGCCAGATTGCCCTGGCTGGCCTTAAACTTGAAAGCCCGGCAAATAATAAATGGACAGAATGCTGCCATTGGAGAGCACTCACATAGATCATCCAGGCTGCATAGTGCTCTTTGAGGTTATATAGTACTCCAGGCTCGTGCAGGAAGGAGAAAATTAAGGAGTCATCATACACGAAGCATATTTGGCATTCACAGCTTCTACATGCTCCTCAGCATCCTGCAGACGCTGAGCCAGCTTCTTCCTGAAAAGTAAAATGTGACCCGTAGGAGTAAATGGCTCTCAGTAGAACTGGGTGTTTCAAAGTGAGCACAAGTCAGACAACTGGTCCAAGGGAGAGGATTTGATGAAAACAAGGCTGCACTCCAGGACTGAAGAGTATTTTTAGGTCATGAGGAAGAAGCTAGTTTTTGTTTTGTTTTGTTTTATTTTGTTTTTTAATTTGAAGGAAAGGATGGTAATGTCATCCAAAGTTCTGGTCCTGTCTACAAGCCAAGGTTGGCATGTCTTGAGAAGCACACTTCAACAGGAATGCAGCCAAGTGCCAAGTTTAAGAAGCCAAGTGTTGGAGACTCAGTCAGACCTTCTAAAAGACTTGACAGAAGTTTTGTCGATTTTATCATTCTTTGTCCCTTCTATAATCCACCAGTGAACCACGCATTTATTTTGTCTTGGGGAAGGCTTGAGTGTTATGTTCTTTAGTTTTTTTTCTCCTTTGACTGATAAGAAGACTACCCTTTTGCATCTTAAAGATATGTCATATCCTTGTGGTAAAATGTTAACTGGCGAATCTTGAGGAGCCTTTCAGTAGAAATTACATGATGAGTGGATATGCTGAAGATCAGATTTCTGTGTGCATGCATGTGGGTACACTATGCTACTATGGTTTGAATCTTAAAAGTCCCCCAAAGCCCATGTACTAAAGACTTAGTTTCCAGCTTCACACTATTGAGACATGATGAAACCCTTAAGAAGTGAGGTCTAGTGGGAGATTTTTCAGTCATTGGGGGTATGCCTGTGATAGGGACAGTGCCACTCTTTCCCCTCTGTTGTTTTCCCTTTCACTACCTGCTGTGAAGTGAATGGCTTTATGTGCTGCCTTGTCATACAGTCATGGGCTGACCTGTCCAGAATGTAGCCAAAGCAAGCCTTTTCTCTTTATAGGTTGATGGTCTCAGGAATCTGTTACAGTAATAGAAAGGTAACTCACACAAATGCCCAGCACTCATGCATGTGCTTAACAAAAAGTGTCCTGTGAGGAATGGCTGAACTCCTCATCTTTCTTGGGTGATTCTACTTGTGGTGTGACTAGGTGTTTAGATAGGCCCTCATGACTAAAGTCTGACTCAAACAAGTGATTCTAAATTTTTATTTCAAAAATTAATGATTTTAGCAAAACAAAATAAACTCACAGAAATGTCAAAAAAAATGGCTTGGTGTATAGCTTAATGTAAATTTTAGATCTTTGTTTCAGTCTCCAGTACTATACAACGCCCCCATTTCAACCTAGTATTGTTTGTGTTTTAGTTGGAAGGTATAGTCTGTATTTCTTGTAATTATTGACATACATGGCTGGCATATGCATACTGTTTTGCAGTTTAATTTTCATTTGTTCCAGTTGGTTTTTTGTTCCTCTGCAGCTCTTTTATGATCTCCTTTGAGTGAAACATTTCTTTTTTTTTTTTAATTTAAAATTTTTTTTTTAACATTTATTTATTGTGTGTGTGTGTGTGCGTGTGTGTGTGTGTGGCCAGCTCAGCCCACCAGGGGGCGCAGCTGGCTGGCATGTGGTGCTGGGGGATCGAACCGTGGTCCCTGTACTTTGCCAAGCTTGTTCCAAGTAGGCGCTTTAGACCACTGAGCCATCTCTCCAGCCCCTGGGTGAAACATTTCTTAGTATTCCATTTTAATTCCTTATCTGGCTTTTTAGCTATAGCTTTTTTTTTTTTTTTTTTTTTTTTTTAAAGGTAGGTGCTTACAGTATATAGAGTGTATACTGTGCCACATATCAGGTAAATGTAAGAAACTTGCAATCTTGCCATTCAGTTTTTACCTCTTATTTCCATGTTTTATGCCTACCCAAATTGATACCACAATTCCGTGTTACAATATTTGCATTAAGATTTTATTGTATTTTTTTGCAAAATATGTTCCTCTGGAATTATTATACTTATGCTGGAAAACATTGTAATACTTCTTAAAGGACAGATCATTATATGTCCCCCTCCCTTTTTATTGTAGTTTTTTTTTGTAAGGTTCCTTTCAGAGAATCAGTCTCTCAGGCAGGATGGAGGCCTGCAAAGAATTTACGGAGCTGGACTATAGGTGGAGTTCAGGCTGTGATTGGGGAAGGTGTGGTACAACAAAAACAAAAGTGAAGTTCAAGTTTAATCTAAATACATTTAAAAAAGATGTAGATATTTGATCCATTTTTAATTATGTTTTGTGGTGCTAGAAATAGAACCAAAGGCCTTTACACTGAGCAACATCCCAAGGCATATAT